ATTCTCAGCTCTCCAGCCTTACTCCTCTCCTTACTGTTACTCAGCCTGCCAAGCAACCTGATCTTCGGGTCTATATGAGTCAGTTTTTCTTTGCAGTAACCAAATACCCGAAGCAAGGTGTTCCATAAAGAAACCAGGTCCACTTGGCTCAGAGTTTTGCAGGCTGACCTTCCAACCGTAAGCAGCCACTGGTGAGGACCTCATGGTAGATGGCATCGCAGTGGTGGAAGCGTAGGCAAAGGGAGAATCGCATAACGACAAAGGGGCCGGAGAATGGGAAGAGGTCAGTGCATTTACAACAACTTGTTCTCCCGAGAACAAGCGACTCTCTCCACAAGACCAGCACTGGACAGTGCCCAAAGTGATCGAGTTACTGCCCACCGGTACGCACTTCTAAAGGCCTTTCTACTCCCCAACAGTTCCATGCTGAGGGCTAAGCTCCCAACACAGGAAACCAGGGAAGTCGCACTCAGGTCTCGGCAAGAGCCTTTCCACACGGGGTGCCTTCTGCCCTCAGACACCCTCTAAGACATCCACGGGCAGCAACATCTTTGGAAACTGCATTTGTGACCCACCTCCCACACACATGCACACTCCCTCGCTCACCTTCTCTGGTATATTCAGCACTTGTCATAATTACTGTCTATAAAATGTATATTATACTTATTTAGCTTACTTTTCATCTAGTTTACTAAGTAGACTAATCATTCCATGAAGACAGGGATTCTTGTTTGTTTACTGCTAGCCAAGCAGTGTCTAAAGAGTATCTGCCAGGTACAGATGCTCTGTAGTTACTTGTGAAATGAATGAGTTCGTGAATTATTTCTTCCTATAACTCTCTCTGCACATGCGACTGAATTATTCTTTGGCACTTGAAGGCATCATATGCAAATCATATGTAAATCACCCTAGGTAAATCATCATTAGTGATGTGTTAAAGTATTTAGGAGTGAAGCATGCTGTTGTCTACAAGTTGTTGGAGTGAAGAGCCAGAGAAGTATGTGGAAAGCAAATATAGCAAAATGCTAATTATAGAATGTAGGTGGTAATTATATGGCTGTTCATTATAAAAAATACTTCAGCTTTTTATACATTAGAAAAGTTTCATAATAAAACTTGGGGGAAAAGTTACAATGCTTGGGGGAGGTCTTCTCTAACCATACAAAGTCAAGTTGCCTCCGACTATTCTTTATCACATCTCTCTATTGTATTTCCTGCATTGTAGTTATCCTTCGCTGATACAATGTGGTTATTATTTTGCTCACTGTTGCCAATTTATCCTGTCAATCAGAATACAAGCTACCTGGAGTCAAAATATTGCTAGCCTGTCCTCTGCTGTTTGCTAATTACTAGAATACTGCCTGGACCATAACAATTGCTAATGCTTTTTTTTTTGTGGTACCTGAGATCAAACTCGGAACCTTGCACTTGTGAGGCAGGCGGCTCCACCACTGAGCTAAATCCCCAGCCCTCATAACAATTGTTTAATAAATAACTTCTTAAGTAAGTAAATTAGTGAATAGATGCCTTCTGATACTGCTTATTATATGACTGATTAGTTTACTCCTGAACATCTACTTTCCAAAGAAATTGTTAATTTTCTGAAAATGGAAATTTTTGTGGCTTTCTTAGTACTTAGGACAGTTTACACATTCGATATAAGCTCATGTCCTCATATTAATAAATGACACAATTTATTGGCAGGTCAGTATTTTAGAAATTACATACTACTAAAATGAAAGATTGTTATTCTTACATTATTATTTATCTTCCGTAGCTATAAAATAGGAAAGACTTAAAGCTTTTTGGTGAAGACAAACTGAAAATAAGATGCTCCACATCATTGCAAAATTTTATATATGAGAAAAGACATTAGAAATAATTTCACCTGAACTTTCATTCTGAGAAAGAAAACAAGACTCAGAAGAGTGGCAATTCAAATATTTCGAGGGAGACAAACACAAAATAAGAATCCAGCTCCTAATTCCCAGTTTCCACAGCAAATAGGTGGAGGAATTCCTGGGGAGTCAGCCAGTTTCGGTCAGAAGGCTCCTGATGAGCCCCCAGCTGTCTCCTAGCTACAGAGGTCGCTTTGTTTTGACTCAGTATTAACTTTCAGATGGCACACATTTCAAGGTTCTCTTATTAGTAATGTATTGAATCGAAGCACCAAGTCCAGGACTTCTGTTATTATACTAGTGGAATGGTTCAAACCTCAATGTCCCCCAAAGCTCCCTGTGTTCAGAAATTAATTGGCTCACGTGAGCACCATGCTCATCCATGAATGAACTCAGTTGCTGAGTGTGCTGTTAGGAGGTGGAGCCTGGTTAAAGGCAGGTCACTGAAGGCTTGACCTCAAGGGAACATCTCCCTCCCCAACCCCTCCCTTCCCCGTCTGGTAGCCATGGTATGAACAGCTCTCCTCCACCCAGGCCCTTCCACTATGCCTTTCTGCCTTGGAGCCAGCCCACCAGAGACGGAAGTCACGAGCCAAAATAAACCTCTTCTCCCTTATGTTGTGGGTCCTGGGTATTGTGTCTCGGTGGTGTACAAAGTGACTAAGACAACTATGCTGCCGTAACCATCTTCACAGTGTGTCTAAGTCTCTGCTCTCCGAAAATTCCCTTGCTGCCTGTTGTTGTGCCTCCTCTGTGAACGTGGTAGGAAGACTGCCCATCTGGGACAGATGCAACTCAGAAGAGAGGCTGAATGGCTTGCACAGGCCCGGACACACATGCTGGGGCAGAGCCCAGGGGCTCTCCATTCAGCCACCAAGCATTCACCTCTCCTCCTGAGACCAAAACAACTCCCCCTTTCAAAGAATTGTCATTCAGATACAAACTACAGGGGACCCTCAAGAAGAGAGTAAGCTGTTTGGCCAACTATTTTATGAGGTACACTAGAGAAAATAGTTATGTAAGCTGGTTTAAATTCAGGAATGCACAAGGTCTTTTTTTTTTAAACCCTAGGGCTATATACACTTAACCGTAGGAAATGACAGAGGAGAGGAAATACATTTCTTCCACAATATCTTCCCTTTTAACAGCTTTTATATCATGGACTAAAGTGCAACTGTTTTTATTTTCTTACTTTGGAATGTCTAAGCATTGTTTATAAAGCCTTCAATAACCATTTACTGAGACCCTATCCTAGCAATAGGTGAGACCTGTGGATTTGAGCCTTCAATTACCTCTGTTCTTTTTTTTCACCAGAACTTACCAAGCTGTGCTGACTGAGCCTTTTAACTTGCCATTTTGCTCACTTCTTTAAAAACTCTGGGCTTTTGGAATTTCTTCTGTCTACAATGCTCACAATAACTTCTCTACCTGCTCAAATCCTACTCAGGTGTAATAACAGCAGCAAAGCAAAAAGCCCTTAGATAGTGCTTAACGTATAGCAGGCACTGTTCTAAGCACTATATGTATGTCTGCTAATATAATGTGTCTAGTATTTACATGTTCCAATCAATTGTCATCATACATGTAACATATAATAAGCTGCATACTTAATATATAAAGTAAATGATAATCTATATTTTATATAATAAATTATATCGAATTATAATTAAGTACACTTATATGCAATGATCACTATGTCATTACATATATCTTATATATGTAATACTAAATTATTTAATCATAATATCTTTCCTGTAAGACATCATCTCTTTTTACAAATGCATAAACTGAAGAACCAAGACATAAGTAATTTCTCAGGATGAAGAAGTTGATAAGGGACAGAGCTGGTATTTAAACACCAAATAGACCAGCTTTAAAAGCCAAAGTGTAAGTTCCTGTGTTCACTGTTGAACATATTCAGAATCACACGCTGACATGGGCCTGTCCCTGGCCTCATCTTTCTTTACTCTGTCTTCTTACTGTGTTCTGTGCACACCTCACTGCTACTTGTCTCAAAGCAGGGCGACTTATTTTTAGGACAGGTACGAATCTCCCCACTCCCGCTTAGCGTTCCAAGCCGGCCTCACCTCCTCCACCCCAGAGGAGGTTAATCACAGGAAGAACTTCCTGCGCCTTATCCTTTTATTCCTTTACACAAAAACAATGGCTGGCACATAGAGTTTCCAATAAATGTTTGTAAAACGAATGAATGAAACAGATTTAGATGGGGTCAAGCTCAAGGTGAGGAGTGTGTCGACTGGCCCTGTATGGAAGGCGTGCTCGCTGGAGCAACGGAAATGACCACCAGGGAGAGCACAGCTGAGGTGTCCCCGGTCCCTGGGCCATCAGATGACAGGCACAGGTATCCTGACCTTTGGGGTATAGTTTGTAGAAGACAGAAAGCTGAACAAGTAAAAATAATTGAGTCCTAATGAACACCACAGATAATTACCACAGAGAATCAAGTGAGAAAGAAGTAATACCATAATTATATATAGAAATAACCTCAATACTATTATTTCTGATCTTCTATGGTCTTGGCCTTAATTTAATACAAATATCACTCGAGTAATATTTAATATACAGTAATATATAATGGGAAATATATGTATTTTAATAATAAAATATTAAATGTTATAATATAGTAATGTGTAATTTTGTAATAGTTTGCATTTTCCACTTTGTTTTGAGTTTATTTACTCATTTTCTTTGAGTTTACTTATTCTCTCTCTCTCTCTCTCTCTCTCTCTCTCTCTTTCTCTTCTCTGTCTCTCTCTTCTTCCTCTCAGACTTTGTATTTAATTTATCATTCCAAATGTTAGAGTTGCCAATGGAGTTCAAAGCCATTGCTTAATCGCCATGTTATCATTTGGAACCAGAAAAGAGATTAATGTCTCAGTAGTATTTAGTGTAATACCTCAGCCAAAGTTTATAGATAATGGGGAAAAAAAAGATTAGGACAGGAAATAAAAAAGAAAAATGTTTCACTTTAGCAAATTCTGCAAATAAATGAATAAATATTTTACAGGTGTTAAACCCAGCTTTATAAAATAGATTTTTATCTGCCATTGCTTCGAAAAACAGTTCTGCTGTGTTACTTACTTGGTTAAAAATAAAAGGAACTTCTTTCTTCTCCCCCACTTTCATAGAAGATACAGGAAATGTTGCTGTTCCTAGAGTTTCATCCATGACATAATTGGCATCCATTAGTGTGATCTAGAGAGCAAAAAGCAGAGCACCAATACAGTTTCCCAGGGATCTTTGGAGATTATATTTTAAAATTCTTCTACATTTTTAGTTTTGTTTGTTTGTTTATTTTTTGGTACCGGGGATCAAACTGAGGACCTTGAGCTTGCAGGGCTGGCGGCGAAACCCCTGAGCTAAATCCCCAGCCCTCTTCTATATTTTTTTAACAAAAACTATCAAATGATATTTAACAGTTCCTGGGGGCTTTCTCTTTTTTTTTTTTTTTTTTTAAGCTAGGGCTCGAGTCCAGGCCCTAGTCCATGCTAGGCAGATTCTCCACCACCAAGCTGCACACTCAACCCTAGAAGTCCTCGATATTTAACTCATAACAAAACTTTTATCTTTTCCTTCTCAGTGCCATGTTCGTCTATGAAATAAGATATTTTTTACATATTCCTGACTGAACCATTCAATTATCATGGTTCCAAATAACAGAACTTTATTCCCCTTCTCTTTTTAAATATGAAAAATGAATTAATGTAGGGCCGGGTATTTAGCTCAGCGGTTCGGTGGCCCGCCTTGCAAGCGCAATGACCCGAGTTCGATCCCCGGTACCCAAAAATTAATTAATTAATTAATTAATTTATGTAGAAACTCAATACAATTACTTTCAGGAAAATATATTTGAATTAATCTTAAAGGCAACTGAAAATATTTTTATAGCGTTGTACAAAGACTTTCCTCTTTATAACACAAAATCTGTTTTCTCCGAAGTGTATGACAAGCAGTCTCCCCGCCCTGCTTGCTGTCCTGAGTTCCCCCCCATGCTCCTATTCCCGGATGTGCTCCGTTCTAGAAGCGCGAACACTGTGCTGCCAGCTTGACTCCAGTCACGGGAAGACGAAGCAAGGAGGGAAGAGAATCAAGCATCTCTCTCCACAGGAATGACGACCATCCAACAGCCCACACATGAGTCACTCACCTCCAAAATATTTTCCTGATTAGGATCTAAAATAAATTCAAACATTTCATTCCACACAGGGTTGATGTTATTGTTGAAGTGTCGTGTTCTCTTCCTGCTGTCAGGGGTTGTGGAGATGAAAAGTTCCACATAGGGATCTGGAGTGTCCACTACAGGTAGGAAACAAAAGTAGGAGGCAAAAATGTGATCCACAGAGTCTAGGTTACTTTTCTAAATAGATGCCGTCAGGTTATCCTCAATGAATCTGCAGTAATATAAATTAAATGCATAATATAAGAACATGACAAGCTATATACTTACTACATAGTATCCTCCCTCACTTCCTAATAGGCCTGTGGGAGTAGCCCGTGGTTAGGTGAATCATCTAGAATTCCTCCATCCACACTGAGGATGTTTCATTGCAGCCAGCATCTTAGTCCAGCTGCTACACTGGTAGCAATCTTGCTCAGCTTACTCCCGCAAGGCTTTCACAACGGAACTCCAGTGGTGACAAGATTAGGGTTTCAAGATCATATATGTGTTCATTAGGAGAATCATCTTGGTTACTTTGTTTACCAAACAAAATCTTAAAGTGTCAACAGGTCTGCCTGCACAGTTTTACAAAGTCAACTTGTATTTACTACAGTGGTATTCAATCAGATGGAAGAGAGGTGCCTACAAGAAATGAAAGGGTTTGCTATTTCAGAAAGAAGCTCACTAGTGTCAGGCACACGTGCACCTTTTCAAAATAGAAAGAAATAATTGCAAATAAAGGACATATTTAAATTTCCTCCCTTTATATATAAAACAACACAGTGATTGACTCAGTTTAAACAATGCTCATTCCCTCTTCAGGATTCCACAGAATCCTTTCCTATCCCTCAGTACTGCATGTGTTCTATTTTATGGATACAATTATGTATCTACTTTTTCCAACAAGACTACAAACATCTTGAGGGCAATGGTCTTACCTTACCTTTATATTTTGGGAACCTCGCAAGAAAAGGCAACTATAACATTGAAGCCTTAATAAGGATTTCAATTTTTTCTTTAAGACGTCTTTTCCAAAGATGTAATCCCAGCATTGCGAGGCTGAGGCAGGAGGACTGTTTTGAGTTCAAGGCCAGTTTGGGCTACATAGTGAGTCCAAAGCCAGCCTGAACTACATAGTGAGACTCTGTCTCAAAAGAAAAGAAAAGAAAAGAAAAGAAAAGAAAAGAAAAGAAAAGAAAAGAAAAGAAAAGAAAAAATAGACATGTGGCCATTGTAGTTATCCCCAAAACCAATAACTAAGTGATGGGCACAGAAGCTGTGGTAAGCACTCTACACACAACAGTATCACTGAATCCCACAGCACTGTAGGGTTAGGGCCTTATTTTAGTGTTGAGGTAACAGGAACCGAGAGATGTCATGGATCTGTTCATTGTCCCACAGCAAACAAGTCCAAGAGCAAGATTTTGAACCTGGTCATCTGGCCGCAGCAATCATTCTCTTAATGGCATTTTATTTTTTTTTTCATTTCATAAAAATAAAACAAAACTTCATAATGAAATAATGAAAGAATAACAATAGTCATTACACTGTACATCATTATCTTCAAAATAGTTACTCAGAGTACAAGACATAAACCAAAAAGATCCTTTCAAAAAGGAAACAAACAGGCAATGACACAAAATCTTTCTTTTCAATGCACTGAAGTTAACCAGTAGTACAAATGAAATCAATTAACAGTATTTTTAAAACAATGGAATCTGTCATAGAAGGAAGTATTTGAATTTCTCCCTGTTTCCCAATTATTGCTCTTCTATTTTGTTCTTTATTTTGTTTCTCCTATAACAGAAGCTGTGTGATATTTGAGCTTGTGTATCTGATTTACTTCACTTGATGTTATGTTCTCAGTTGCATCCGTTTACCTACAAATGACATGAGTTGATGTTTCTTCGGGGCAGTATAGTAGTACTCTGTATCATATAAATATCACATTTTTCTTATCCGTTCATCTTTACATATCTTATCTTCACCACACATACCCATGGGCATTAAATATTTCTTCAATGCCCGTTGCTAAGTTTTAAACACTGCTCATAGTTCTTTTATATGATCAGTAGATTTCTTAAATTAGAAGCTTTTTTTTTTTTTTTTTTTTTTT